AAGTTGAAACAGATCATTCGTTGACTAAAGCTTTCAATTAAAAACCTTTTGCATAGATGACCTCTGGCTTGTTTCTCATTACCCCTCAATCATCTTTGAAACTTACATGGGAATATTTTTATTGTCTTCCTTCTGCCCCATTTAAGCCCTTCAAATGCTCTTTTGATTGCCAGCTCTCAACACAGGGCACAGACAAAGAGCTGGGCAAGCCCCAGGGTGTGTATGGTACAAACAAGGCATTCACAGTTAAGACCTTCCTTTCCTGTTTGGGGAAAGACTCCTCGCATTAAGAATCTTGATTCAGGTGGCACAAAAGGCAGAAAGAAAGAAGGGCAAAGCATTGAATTTGCCTTTTTTAGGGGGAGAGGAGTCTCTGTGGAACTTACCATGTTGTTTTTATAAAGCCCTCCATTTTCCAGTGCATAGCAAAGACTGGCTACAGGGCATTGTGTTGAACACTGACGTGGATGAAAATGTGCTCCAAAGTTGCATACACAGTATAAACACAACTGCTGATCCCTTGGGACAGTGCAAGATTCCCACTCATCTCCTCCCAAAGGCCTTTGGTTCAGACATGGACATAAAAACCCAAAAAACAAAAAAAAACCAACCCTGTCTTCCTTAATGCTCTAATGATACCTACAAAATGAAAGATTTCTTCCATTTTTGCTGCCAGGAACATCTCTTTCTTGATAGCAAATTCCAGATTCTCTCTATGAGATCCTCCCAGTGTTCAGTAGTATGAATTGAACACAAATCAAGCTAGGAATAGAGTCATGTTTCTGCTGAGCTAACAAGAGCAATTGACAAAATGCCAGTCCCCATCTACTTCTACATTATAAAGCTACAAAATTACTCTTAACTTATAAAATTGCCAGAAAAATCTGATCCATTATTTGACACTAAAAACCATTAGTCATCCACTAAAAACCAGGTAAACAGGAGAACCCTGAGCATCAAGTGAAAAGGAAAACTGCAGCATTTCAATTCAAGTCTGATTAACAAACAGAAATTTAAACATGTAAAAGGAAGACTCAATCAAGTTATGCTGAGATTATATGATCACAATAAACTCTCCTGGGGGACACACGGGGTTTTTCTCCAGGTACTTTTCACAAATATTTACTTTATCAGGGAGTCAGCAGGTAGTGGGAGAAAAGGTAAAGAGTGAAGCAACACCTCTAAAAACCAACATAATTCTGCATGCTCCCATTGGCACTCAGGTGGGCATGTCATGCTTTAGATAAAGGCAGCGTGACATAGCCTAGAACACTGTGGCTCAAGGACAGAATTAATCACATTCCATAGTTAAAAGCTTAACTCAAGCTCCAGCTTCAAGGATGAAACCAGAAATAATTTCATCAGTTTTACTCTTGCTAGATAGCAAGGAGCAGAAAAACACATGAAAATGTGTGGGTACAGAAAGAAACAGCAATTTGTGGAAAGGGTGAAATCTGGAATGTTTCTTACCCTTCGGAGGTTGCTGCGCAGTGGGACAAGAATTTACTATAGAAACAGAGTGCTTTGAAACTGACACAGAGACAAACCTGTACTGAAAGAAAACAGGGTATTTTATGCAAAGCCCCATACAGTACCTGCCCTTTTTCATGGCTACTCTACTGCTGTCACTAGTTACATAAGCTGTGCTTAATGGCAAGTGCCTGAGCTGTACGTTTGCCACACAAACTGCTCAAGCACTCAGAGGCTGATGGAAGATGTGGAGGGTCAGTGTTCCAGGGGTGATGCATTTCTGTAATGGCCACGTTGGCTTGGATGGTAGAAGCCAGGGACAAAACTGCTTTCCAACTCATTGCTAATGACACTGGAGGGAGGAGGATTGTACAGCTTGGTTTGTCTTGCCTTTCTTGAGGAGGGCTCAATTTATGGAATTTCTAAAAGAGGACTTTCTTACGAAATGTACATAACATGCAAAACAAGATATTGGTGTGTATTTGGTATCTTGGAAACAAAGGACATACCCTGTCTCCATTTGGCAGTCACAAATCAGTCCGATTAGAAGACCTATAAATCTTCCCCCTTGGTAGTTTATCACTTTCATTCACCGTATTTGACACCTCGAGTAAAGTATGAAGTGGATGTGAAACATGAAAAGCCGAGCGCTCCGCTCACAGTGCTGGCAGACTGCTGCACCTCCTCAGCACTCACAGAGCTCCAGCAAGGTGCCAGGCAGGAGCACAAGGACAGAGTGTGGCCCTGAGCAGCACAAGTGACAATTTGGCCTCCCCTTCCCAAACAAAGATCCACTGGGCTTTCCAGGAACAGCTGCAATAATGATCCTCGGCAATGGATGGCAGAGGAAAAGAGTGTTCAGAGACATCAGATCAGAGAGACTGAGTCCCCATCGTGCCAGTCTGGCACTGCAGAGGAAGCTTTAGTTTGCAAGCCCACCCTGAACTGCAGCCAAGGGCACAATCAGCACATGGGGACTGGCAGAACTGCTGTCAAACACAAAGCACTCGGGGAGTTGGGAAGTGAGCTCCTCTGGGAGTGCTGCTTCTGGAACCTGGAAAAGGCACAGCAAAAAAGCAAATCCAAATTACCACAGGCTCCTGGGCCATGGCTCTGTGTATCAAATTCAGAGAAAGATTAAAATCTACTTCCTAAATAACAGGGGATATACAATGCACCATGTCACTGCTCCTCCCTCACACGTTTTGCTCCCTCTAGTTTGTGGTCCCTTTCTCAAATCACCCCTTAGTCCATAATCAGGTGCTACTCTCCTGAAAAGACTCTGTGAAGATTAAGGGCCATGTCTGACAAGAAGAAAGCAGATCCTCAGCAGCCCTGCAGTTCCAAAATAAACAAGTGCTTGCTGTATACGTTAAGAATGATGCAGTTCAGGTTTTAAGTGACTTTTCCTGGTACATTTCCAAAACTAAGTTGCAAAAATTTCCACTGCAATGTTCTCTTATTTTCTCAGTCTAATCAGCTGTTTCTTTTTCTTTCAGGATCAAAGTTCTTATCAGGCTCAAACTTCTTAGAGCAAGATAACTCACACTTGAAAGTTAAGATAAATTAACTGCCTATTATTTTGCTATATCTTCTACATTAACCATTTAAAATCAGGTGAACTAAAATCTGGTTTTATAGAGATCAGCATAACTAAGTTATTTTTACTTTAACATCTTACCAACATATTGAAATAGTTTATTTTAGAAATAAGCACTGTCATGCCATCTGGCCAATTGCAAACAGACAGATGCATTATTATTCTGATCAACCCAAAAATAAAGGTACAAATAACAGACTGGAGTCGCACACACATGCTATTTAAGAACATTTCATAAAGGTTTAACACAGGAGAAAAGAAGCATACTCTAACCAAGTGCAAGTTGGAAATCTGAAAGAGTCAAATTACAGTTAGGTTAAAAGCAAAGCAAAAAGCCTGAGCCTGCTTTCTTCATCAAAAACTTCAGCAACTCACTGTGTCTGGAAAACACCACATCTTCACCTGCCCTCCTCACTCGGGGCCCTTTCCTTGCTCTTTGACAGGAGTTACTCCAAGAGACACTTTACCCACTCGGGAATGCCCCAGGGTTACTCCAAGGAAAAGGGTGCAGCAGCCCGTTCTCTTCAGGAAAAGCCTGCTGGGGACTCCAAGGGTCAACTGATGTGAAAACCAAAGCAAAACTGCACCCAAGAATTTTTTAGCACCTCCAAGTAGAGTTGCAGCACCTAAAGAATCGTTCCTATCTGCCTTGCCTGGGGTTTCTGGAGAGACTCTCCTCTCCTTTTCCGACCTGACTCTGCATTTTCCTTGAGATGCCACAGGCACAGCCCTCTTCCCTGATCCTGCTGGGAGGCACTGGGAATGTGTCCCCGTGAGCCCTGGCACAGATGATGATTCCTTCCACACGCCCCAGGCAGCCGGGATGTGACCTGAGCAGAGCCTGTGCTGCCGATCTCACAGCCCCGCGGTCACCGCGCAGCACAGAGAGTACCATTAAAATGCCAGCACCTGCAATCTAATAAATGTGTTTTAATTCCCTCATGTATGTTAAGACAAATTGCAGATTTTGAAAGAACCTGACTTCTGAGGGGATTTTTTTTTTTTTTTACACAAAATTGATATTCTGATTGGACACACCACCAGCAGGCCTAATACCCGTCTTGTGAGTAAAAATTACCTCAAGAACTGTAAATGAACCGAGCTGCAACGACGTAAATGTCCCAAAGCCGCTCTGCCGGGTCCGCTGAGGCGCCGCTGCCTCAGAGGGGCTTTTCCGCCCTTTTTCCACACTCCTGTGATCCTCTGATTCTCTCCTCCTCGGCCGCCTCACGAGGGGCTTTTCCGCCCTTTTCCCACCCTCCTGTGATCCTCTCCTCCCCGGCCGCCTCAGGGGGGCTTTTCCGCCCTTTCCCGCTCCCCTCAGGGCGCGGCGCCGCCTCAGCCTCGCTCCCTCCGGCCCTCTCAAACCGTCCCGCACCGCATCAAAAGCACGATGTTTTATTCCTTGAGCGAATTCCTCGCGGACAGAGTAGGGGCTTTCTCGGTGTTTCTCGTCGGGCAGCAGTGAGGGAGGGAAAGCGCGGTCCGCCCCTCACAAATCCACACGGGCGCTGCTGCTCGTAAAGCAGCCTGTTGAAATTAACGCCGGTTTGGTGTAGCTGTACGTATCAAAAATACCGCTTCGGGCTTGCAGATTCAAAAAGTGAAACTGAGACAAATAGTCAGTTTCATATTGCGCATGTAACAACGTTAAGACCTTATTTTTATGTGTAAATCCCCACACCTAGCCATACTGCCTTTTAAAACAAACTGCTGGGTTGCAGCTGAAAAGTAGTTTCCATGCCCTAGAGCCAGTGATAGGACCTGAGGGAATGGCTGGAGCTGTCTGTAATCAGTGACAGGACCGAGGGAATGGCTGGAGCTGGATCAGGGGAGGTTTAGGTCGGATATTAGTAAAAGGTTCTTCACCCAGAGAGCGCTTGGGAGCTGGAACAGGCTGCCACAAAAAGTTGTCACAGGAGCAAGCGGGATGGAGCTCAAGGAGTGTTGGGACAATGTTCTCCAGGTGGGAATCCTGGGGATTGTTCTTGTGCAGGCCCAGGAGCTGGACCTGATGATTCTTGTGGGCCCTCTGTGATTCTTGTAAAACAGTTTTCAGTGGCCATATAGTACTTAGGGCATGTGTTTTCATGGGTACTGTGGTTACAAAGAACATAAAGTGCATTTTGGAAAGTGCAAAGGCTTTTATTTATTCAAACTAATTGAAAGCGGGTTTTTTTTCTTTTTGTTTGCTTAAAGCCAAGGCTATCTCTGATCGTAAGTTTGATGTAAAGTTTCAGAAGTAATTAGTACATGTCAGAAAGTTACTACAAAGCATATTTAATTTTTTAAGAGAAATGGAGCTTTATCTGATAATTATTGGGTCAAAATTTGCAGAAGTACAATCCCCGTGTTTATCAAGTAGTTACAGCAGGAAATAATTTTCAGTGAAATGCAGCAGGGATACAAATCACAAAATAATTTTATTGCAACATTCAGCCCTTCCACACCTAATTTTGAAAACATATAAAAGGTGTAGGGTTGACATTGTTCTTCCTACTTGCAGCAGCATCAGCTCTGCAGTCAGGATGGATCTCTCTGTAAGTATGCATGCTTTTCTTCCTTATGAACTGAAAGTTTGATTCAGACCCATTCCTTTATCTCTCTGAAGGGCTTCTGCCTCTCTGCAGCACTAAGGCTTTCTCTGGGGACACCGTGCTCCTCCAGAAGGAGCAGCTCAGCCCCTGTTCCCCAGAGGAGCTGAGGAGGGAAGGCTTTCTTCACGGCTTGGCTGCACATTATTCAGAAAGCAGGAAGCCTGATCCATGCCCATTGCTGTCAGCGCTTTTGCACCACTGCAGCACTGCACTCGTGCATCAAGCCCTCCCTGGAATGCCAGAGCAGAAGAAATGGAAAAGCTTTCTCCTCTTTACTCTTGTAGAATGCCTGTGTGTGCCTGCACAGCTCTGAGAAACAACTTGAGGTTCAGCTCTCGAGAGAGCAAGTGTGAAATGTGTCTGCTTTGAGCACCCTGGGGTAAAGCAAGGGTGCCTCCCTTTGGGGGCATTGATGCAGTCCCAGGTTGAAAGCAACAAAAGGATCCAAGGAGGACCCTTGAACATCAGATTAGGAAGAGGGAAGGAGGAGGGTCATGACCAGATTTGTCAGCCAGAGTTGCAGTTACACTTTTGTATTTGATTTTCATTTCAGATTTTGACTGCAGTCCTTCTAGGACTCGTCCTGACTCCAGCCCTTGCTGATTATGTGAGTACAAATGAACAATTCCACAGTGCTCATCTTTCTATGTTCCCTGCTTCATGAGATCTCCTTTTTCTTTCACCACCCCTTTGGAGGAAACAAATTGAAGTCTTCTCAGACAGATGAAACTCTGGCACTCTATATGTGGTAGAACTTACTCTAGTCTAGCAAAGATTTTTTTGTAAAAATTTTAGGACATCACTGACTAGCCTGAAAATTTGAAAAAATTTCATTTTTTAATTGAGTCCCAGCAAAAAATTAAACACCAGCAAGTCATCCTTGGGTTAAAGACTGAGGTCCCCATCACTAGTGGCCAATCACAGATTGTGATGGCACTTACCAGAGAGCAGCACTTCCAAAGTAGTAGGGATTTTTCTAAAACTGTGGGGACATCACTGCCTCCCTTCAAGGACTAAACATCTTCTTTCCCTTGGCTTTTCAGTCTCAGCAGTCGGATAACAACTGCCAGGTCTCTGTTGGTGGAGTTTTCCAAAATCTGACTCTCAGTAGTCTGACACGTGTGGTGGTTATTGAACAAAGGAGCGAGCAATTCTCATGGAAAACCATCTGGAACTACAACACGGTGAGTGGCAGGGAGGAGGCTTGATCACAAAGTGTGTGAGGAGACTGGCTCCTGGTAGAGCTGGCACAGGGATTGGGATTGTTTCCTTATTCTGACTGTCTGGATTACCCATGATTTAGGGTAGCAACTCTTGGCATCCATTCCTGTTTTAACCAAGGGTTTTCTCCAATCCCAATTGTGGAAAAACTGAATTGCAAGTGATCAATAACTTTTTCTTACAGGGTATCATTGCAACCAAACTGGTGCAACAGAACACCTGCTACATTTCTGTCATGAACAGAAATGAGATGCCCAGCTTCAAGAATCTGGCCCACCTGGCTTCACAGAACGGGGTAAGATTCAAAATGTGTTACTGTAGTTGATATGCATTTTTTGTCTGACACACTGCTATTTTCCAAAACTTCTTAACCAGTGGACATTTTATTGCTGATACTTTTGGTAATATTTTTCAGTTACATTATTTGTAAACACTCAAAAACTACAATATTCTTTTTCAGAAGCCTTTAGGACAGGTTCGTCATATGGAGCCCAAGTCCCAGATTAGATTATTTTTACAATTATTTAAATTATTATACAATTTGCTCTTTTTTTACTATCTTAATATCTATGATTTTTCATTAAGTATGTTTCATAATTTCACATTCTCAAAGTGTAAAAAAAGGATTTTTCTTCAGACATTCTAAATGAGGAAGAACAAATATTGCAGTATTACAGAGAAAATCTTTAAGTAAGCTTTCAAACATTTTGAAGAAAATTATGCACCGTATTTCTTCAGTTCAGCCATCCGCATTAGCATAGACGTTGAAAAAATTATCTTAGCATTCAGCATATTCACCTTTGCTAAACGCAAGCTTCCCTTGAAATCTTACAACTGAGTTGGTAAAAAACCAACACTTTAAACAGTAGGAAAACCTGTAGGGCAGAAGGGAATCAGGAGGAGACTTCTGCCAGCCAACAGCCCGGGTGCCCCTGAGGGGCGAGGGCAGTGACTGAGCACATGCCTTGGAAGGAGCTCTGGCTCCACAGAGCGGCCGCACTCCTCTTCTCCTCTTCAGCACTTCCCTTGTGCAGCCGCTTCCCCTCAGGCTCCTGCACCTTGGCTCCCTCAAAACCATCTGCCTTTGGAGCTGCCTTCAAGGCTTGCCACTGGTCCCACAGTCTCCCAGGGACTGAAAGGTGTCCCTAAAGGCAGTTGGGACTCCAACACCCAGCCCTGAGTCATCCTTCCTGAGCTAGGAACAGCCCTAGCAGGAACCAGCTGCTGGCACTGAGCTTGCTGAATGCTGGTATTTGTTCTTTAGAACCAGGTTGGCCTTGGAAGACCTACCAAGAAGATCACCTTTGTCACCAATGGATTGGTCAGCAACCTCAACTCCTACGGAAGAGACATCACGGCTATGTGCAGTGGACTCACCACCTACATGGCTACTGAAGTTCACAGTGAGTGCAAGCATGGCAATTCTCAGTATTACTGACCTGGCCTTTTTGTCTTCTGGGACATGACTAAGGCACAATTGCTGCTTTTCCACTTTGGGCCAGACAGAAACCAAGGGCTTCAGCAGTTGCCCAAAGGGTTTGGCACTTCTGCAGATCGAGACAGGAACAGGGTGGGGTGACAGCCCCCAAAAATGACCCAAACCAAACCCTTAGAGCTACTCTCTAGGAAGCTTAATGGGGCTTAAAAATGAGCCCAGAATGCTCTGGCTCACACTGTGCTTCCCTGTAATATCTAGTCAACAAGAATGGGCGTTCTAAGAAGTGCTGTCCTTCAGGTCGGAGCTTGCTGAGTTGACCCAGGCACCCACCAAAGCCTTGTGCTTCGCAACACTAAGCCAAGTGGCTTCCTCACCTGTAACTTTTTCCCTGGGGCAATGATTCCATTTCCAAGGGCTAAAATGACTAACTCTTGGCAGGATTCTTCCAGAACATCACAGCCCATGTGATTTGGGCCCATGAACTGGCAGCTGCACCGCCATGCCATACTCAGCCATTGGGACTCTCAGGCAATGTGCAACAAAGCCCCGATTTCTGCACAGCAAATGCCCAAGGGTGTTCAAGGGCAGGTCTTTGTGAGCATTCCAGGCTGAGCCACCAAGCTCGTGCTCACTGGGGACTCCAAGAGAATCTGTCACTTGCACAGCTCAAACATTCCCAGAGCAGCAGCTATTCATACCTGGTGTGCTCTGAGCAACAACACCACCCTTCTCTAGAAGGTCAGCAAAGGTCTTAGGCATCAGCTCAGGGGGTTTTGTCTTTTCTTTTCCAGCTTTGCCAGGACCCCAGCTGAATCTGGGATCATGCATTACCCTTGAAGTCCTGAGGATTGTGGAGCTGAAGTACTGCAATGGCAATGGCAATTGGAATGGCAATTTCCCGGTGAGAAAACCTTAGCCCTTAGCTTTTCATGTGAAAAATGTTGCAGGCTCAAGATCTCCTGCCCAAAGTCAGCCCTGATGCCCTTCTTGCCGGGCATCTCCTCTTTGGTGAGGTTCCTTCTTGAGGGAGCAGATGCTGAAAGAGAGTAATGGCTCAGCAGAGATTTCCATCCAAGACCTTTGAGAAGGGATTTACTCTGGCCAGTGCTCTTGCACGCATTAACTTTTAAAGCCACCAAGTGACAGCTGTGAGATACAGCAATGATTCACTGAATCCATGAAAAGAATTCTTACGGCCTCTGCCCTCTGCCACAGGCTTAATTCAAACTCCTTTGGAAAAAACTGAGGCTTCCCGGGGGCAACACTTCGTCCATTATAGCAGTGATTTTTTAGATGCTTGGGGGACATCACTGTCTCCCTTCAAAGATGACTTTCTTCTTTGCCTTGGCTTTTTAGTCTCAGCAGTTTCCTGGTGGCATCTTCAACAACACGCAAGGCGGCATCTTCAACAACACACAAGTGATCATTGGTGGCCAGTCCCAAATTGTGACCATCAACAGGCAATGGCGTGTGGCAATCATTGAGCAAAGGAGCTTCAGCGGGTCCTGGAAAACCATCTGGAACTACAACACGGTGAGTGGCAGGGATGGGACTGCTTGAAAAAAATCCAAGGAGTCTGGCTGCTCGTACAGCTGGCCCAGGTGATTGTTTCTTCATTCTGGCCATGTGGAGTGCAGAATTTCAAGTAGGAACTTTCTGCACTCGTTCTGGTTTACAGAAAAGGTCTTTACAATCCCAAGGCCTGAAAGATTGAAGTGTAAGTGCTAAAAACTTTTATTTCACAGGGTGTGATTGCAACCAAAGTCACTCAACAGAACGCCTGCTACATTTCCACCATGAACAGAAATGAGATGCCCAGCTTCAATAATCTGGCTCACCTGGCACAAGAGAGCAAGGTAAGATTCCAGGGGAGTAGCAGGTTCATTACCCTGGAGTTCATTGACCTGTTTCTTCATGGGCTGTTTCCTTCTGGACAGGATGAAGTTGTCACCAGTGGCAGGATTTTCTTTCTTTCAAAAGGAGTGGGGAATTTTTCCATAAGAATGCATTGCTAAAAGAGGAAAAGGGTTGCATATTCCGTTTCTGAGTTCTGATTTCTCTGAGGATCTTGAGCTCTGCAGCTTGCTCAAAACAATTTTTCTCTGAGCAGCTCTTTGTGAGACTTATTTCTTTTGGCACACTAGGATATTAAAGACCTTCACAAGCCTTTCAATACCAAGCTCTGTTGGCCACCTCAGAACTTGGCATGGCAGATTGGCCAGACTCCCTTTTCCTTTGGGGTGTAAGCGAACTTCTCTCTATTCCTCAGCTTTTCCCATAGGGAATGTGCCTAGCAGGAGCCAGATCACAGCACTGATCCTGCTGAATGCTGGTTTATGATTTTTAGAATCAAATCGGTTTTGGAAGACCAACCAAGAAGATCACCTTTGTCGCCAATGGATTGGTCAGCAACCTAAGGTCTTATGGGTCAGATGTCTTCTCCATGTGCAGTGGACTCAGTAATTTGGCCCACCTGGCACAAGAGAGCAGGGTAAGGCTCCCAATGAGCAGTGGAGTCCTGACTCTGGAGTTCATTGATCTGTTCCTTCATGTGCTCTTTCCTTCTGGACAGTAGAATGTTGTCACAAGTGGCAGGACTTTCTTTCTCTCAAAAGGAGTGGGGAATTTTTCCATAGGAATGTTTTGCTGGAAGAGGAAAAGGGTTGCATATTCTGTTTCTGAGTTCTGATTTCTCTGAGAATCTTGAGCTCTGCAGCTTACTCAAAACCCTTGCTCTGAGAAGCTCATTGGGGGCCTTATTTCTTTCGGCATGCCAGGACCTTAAAGTCCTTTGCAAGCCTTTCAATACCAAACTGCATTGGTCAGCTCAGAACTTATCATGGCAGCTTGTCTAGACTCCCTTTTCCTTTGGGATGTGGGAGAGCATCTCCCTATTCCTGTTAGGGAATGTGCCTAGCCACAACCACATCCCAGCACTGATCTTGCTGAATGTTGGTGTTTGATCTTTAGAACCAGTTTGGTCATGGAAGACCAACCAAGAAAATTACCTTTGTCACCAATGGATTGGTCAGCAACCTCAGGTCTTATGGGTCAGATGTCTTCTCCATGTGCAGTGGACTCACCACCTACATGGCTCATGAAGTTCATGGTGAGTGCAGGAAAAGGAATTCTGCCTCTAAATGTTCTGGCATTTGTTTCTCTTGGGGAATGACCAATGGACAATTGCTACTCTTCCACCTTGAGTCAGGCAGAAAGCAAGGGCTTCAGCGCTTGTACAAAGCGTTCAACATCTTTGCAAATCAGGACTGGAACAGGGTGGTGTCACAGCTCCCTATAAATGACCCAAAGCAAACCCTTACAGCTCTTTCCTGGGAAGCCAAGTGAGGCTTAAATTAGGGCCCAGAGTGTCTCAGCTCACACTGGCCTCCTGTGTAATGCCCAGTCAATAAAAAGTGCCACCCTAAGCGTCACCAGCTGTCCTTCAGGTCAAAGCTGACTGACAATTTGAATGGCAGCCAAGATGACCCAAAGCAAACCCTTACAGCTCCGTCCCAGGAAGCCAAAGGAGGCTTAAATTAGGGCCCAGAGTATTTCAGCTCACACTGTGCTACCGTAAAATGCCCAGTCAAGCAGAAGTGTCACCCTAAGTATCACCAGCTGTCCTTCAGGTCAGAGCTGACTGATGATATGAGTGGCAGCCAAGGTCTTAGGCATCAGCTCATGGGGTTTTGTTTCTTCCTTTCTTGCTTCCCAAGGAGTCCAAGTCAACCTGGGATCCTGCATTACCCTCGATGTCCTGGGAGTTGTGGATCTGAAGTACTGCACTGGCAATGGCAATGGACAAGTGAGAAAACCTTACTCTTATCTTTCTTGAACCAAATGGAGGGCAGCTTCAAAGCTCTTCATTTCTGATGCCCTTCATGCCTGGCATCTCCTCTTTTGTGTGGTTCCTTCTTGAGGGTGCAGATGCTGAAAGAGAGCAATGGGTCAGGAGATGTTTCTATTCAGTGCTTTGAGCACGGATGAACTGTGGCCAGTCCTAATGCACTCATCAACCTCTAAAGGCACCAGATGACAGCTGTCAGATGCAGCATGGATTCACTGAATGCTGAAAAGAATTCTTACAGCCTTTGCCCACTGCCACAGCCTTGATTCTGGGTCCTCTGGAAAACACTGAGAGCAGATCCAGCACTTCCCGGGGGAAGCACTTCTTCCATTGTAGCAGAGATTTTTCAGATGCTTGGGGGATATCAGTGCCTCTGTTCAAAGAAGACATGTCTTCTTTCCCTTGGC